GCCGAAATTTTCAAATCGGACCATAAACAAAGATTCTACAGGGTACGGGGACTAAAATTAACGTTTAAAGTGACCTTGACCTTGACCTATGACCTTGACCTCGGATTTTTTCGATTGTGCTACTGCTTCTCGATGAGACGAATACAGTGGTGGCCGAAATTTTTAACTCAGACCATAAACAAAGATTCTACAGGGTACGGGGACTAAAATTAACGTTTAAAGTGACCTTGACCTTGACCTATGACCTTGACCTCGGATTTTTTCAAATGTGCTACTGCTTCTCGATGAGACGAATACAGTGGTGGCCGAAATTTTCAAATCGGACCATAAACAAAGATTCTACAGGGTACGGGGACTAAAATTAACGTTTAAAGTGACCTTAACCTTAACCTATGACCTTGACCTCGGATTTTTTCAAATGTGCTACTGCTTCTCGATGAGACGAACACAGTGGTGGCCGAAATTTTCAAATCGGACCATAAACAAAGATTCTACAGGGTACGGGGACTAAAATTAACGTTTAAAGTGACCTTGACCTTGACCTATGACCTTGACCTCGGATTTTTTCAAATGTGCTACTGCTTCTCGATGAGACGAACACAGTGGTGGCCGAAATTTTCAAATCGGACCATAAACAAAGATTCTACAGGGTACGGGGACTAAAATTAACGTTTAAAGTGACCTTGACCTTGACCTATGACCTTGACCTTGGATTTTTTCAAATGTGCTACTGCTTCTCGATGAGACGAACACAGTGGTGGCTGAAATTTTCAAATCGGACCATAAACAAAGATTCTACAGGGTACGGGGACTAAAATTAACGTTTAAAGTGACCTTGCCCTTGACCTATGACCTTGAACTCGGATTTTTTCAAACGTGCTACTGCTTCTCGATGAGACGAATACAGTGGTGGCCGAAATTTTCAAATCGGACCATAAACAAAGATTCTACAGGGTACGGGGACCAAAATTAACGTTTAAAGTGACCTTAACCTTGACCTATGACCTTGACCTCGGATTTTTTCGAATGTGCTACTGCTTCTCGATGAGACGAACACAGTGGTGGCCGAAATTTTCAAATCGGACCATAAACAAAGATTCTACAGGGTACGGGGACTAAAATTAACGTTTAAAGTGACCTTGACCTTGACCTATGACCTTGACCTCGGATTTTTCAAATATGCTACTGCTTCTCGATGAGACAAACACAGTGGTGGCCGAAATTTTCAAATCGGACCATAAACAAAGATTCTACAGGGTACGGGGACTAAAATTAACGTTTAAAGTGACCTTGACCTTGACCTATGACCTTGACCTCGGATTTTTTTAAATGTGCTACTGCTTCTCGATGAGACAAACACAGTGGTGGCCGAAATTTTCAAATCGGACCATAAACAAAGATTCTACAGGGTACGGGGACTAAAATTAACGTTTAAAGTGACCTTGACCTTGACCTATGACCTTGACCTCGGATTTTTTCGATTGTGCTACTGCTTCTCGATGAGACGAATACAGTGGTGGCCGAAATTTTTAACTCGGACCATAAACAAAGATTCTACAGGGTACCGGGACTAAAATTAACGTTTAAAGTGACCTTGACCTTGACCTATGACCTTGACCTCGGATTTTTTTCAAATGTGCTACTGCTTCTCGATGAGACGAACACTGTGGTGGCCGAAATTTTCAAATCGGACCATAAACAAAGATTCTACAGGGTACGGGTCTAAAATTAACGTTTAAAGTGACTTTGACCTTGACCTATGACCTTGACCTCGGTTTTTTTCAAATGTGCTACTGCTTCTTGATGAGACGAACACAGTGGTGGCCGAAATTTTCAAATCGGACCATAAACAAAGATTCTACAGGGTACGGGGACTAAAATTAACGTTTAAAGTGACCTTGACCTTGACCTATGACCTTGACCTCGGATTTTTTCAAATGTGCTACTGCTTCTTGATGAGACGAACACAGTGGTAGCCGAAATTTTCAAATCGGACCATAAACAAAGATTCTACAGGGTACGGGGACTAAAATTAACGTTTAAAGTGACCTTGACCTTGACCTATGACCTTGACCTCGGATTTTTTTCAAATGTGCTACTGCTTCTCGATGAGACGAACACAGTGGTGGCCGAAATTTTCAAATCGAACCATAAACAAAGATTCTACAGGGTACGGGGACTAAAATTAACGTTTAAAGTGACCTTGACCTTGACCTATAACCTTGACCTCGGATTTTTTCAAATGTGCTACTGCTTCTCGATGAGACGAACACAGTGGTGGCCGAAATTTTCAAATCGGACCATAAAAAAAGATTCTACAGGGTACGGGGACTAAAATTAACGTTTAAAGTGACCTTGACCTTGACCTATGACCTTGACCTTGGATTTTTTCGAATGTGCTACTGCTTCTCGTTGAGACGAACACAGTGGTGGCCGAAATTTTCAAACCGGACCATAAACAAAGATTCTGCAGGGTACGGGGACTAAAATTAACGTTTAAAGTGACCTTGACCTTGACCTATGACCTTCACCTCGGATTTTTTCGATTGTGCTACTGCTTCTCGATGAGACGAATACAGTGGTGGCCGAAATTTTTAACTCGGACCATAAACAAAGATTCTACAGGGTACGGGGACTAAAATTAACGTTTAAAGTGACCTTGACCTTGACCTATGACCTTGACCTCGGATTTTTTCAAATGTGCTACTGCTTCTCGATGAGACGAACACAGTGGTGGCCGAAATTTTCAAATCGGACCATAAACAAAGATTCTACAGGGTACGGGGACTAAAATTAACGTTTAAAGTGACCTTGACCTTGACCTATGACCTTGACCTCGGATTTTTTCAAATGTGCTACTGCTTCTCGATGAGACGAACACAGTGGTGGCCGAAATTTTCAAATCGGACCATAAACAAAGATTCTACAGGGTACGGGGACTAAAATTAACGTTTAAAGTGACCTTGACCTTGACCTATGACCTTGACCTCGGATTTTTTTCAAATGTGCTACTGCTTCTCGATGAGACGAACACAGTGGTGGCCGAAATTTTCAAATCGGACCATAAACAAAGATTCTACAGGGTACGGGGACTAAAATTAACGTTTAAAGTGTTTTTGACCTTGACCTATGACCTTGACCTCGGATTTTTTCAAATGTGCTACTGCTTCTTGATGAGACGAACACAGTGGTGGCCGAAATTTTCAAATCGGACCATAAACAAAGATTCTACAGGGTACGGGGACTAAAATTAACGTTTAAAGTGACCTTGACCTTGACCTATGACCTTGACCTCGGATTTTTTCGAATGTGCTACTGCTTCTCGATGAGACGAACACAGTGGTAGCCGAAATTTTCAAATCGGACCATAAACAAAGATTCTACAGGGTACGGGGACTAAAATTAACGTTTAAAGTGGCCTTGACCTTGACCTATGACCTTGACCTCGGATTTTTTCGAATGTGCTACTGCTTCTCGATGAGACGAACACAGTGGTGGCCGAAATTTTTAAATCGGACCATAAACAAAGATTCTACAGGGTACGGGGACTAAAATTAACGTTTAAAGTGACCTTGACCTTGACCTATGACCTTGACCTCGGATTTTTTCAAATGTGCTACTGCTTCTCGATGAGACGAACACAGTGGTGGCCGAAATTTTCAAATCGGACCATAAACAAAGATTCTAAAGGGTACGGGGACTAAAGTTAACGTTTAAAGTGACCTTGACCTTGACCTATGACCTTGACCTCGGATTTTTTTTCAAATGTGCTACTGCTTCTCGATGAGACGAACACAGTGGTGGCCGAAATTTTCAAATCGGACCATAAACAAAGATTCTACAGGGTACGGGGACTAAAATTAACGTTTAAAGTGACTTTGACCTTGACCTATGACCTTGACCTCGGATTTTTTCAAATGTGCTACTGCTTCTTGATGAGACGAACACAGTGGTGGCCGAAATTTTCAAATCGGACCATAAACAAAGATTCTACAGGGTACGGGGACTAAAATAAACGTTTAAAGTGACCTTGACCTTGACCTATGACCTTGACCTCGGATTTCTTCAAATGTGCTACTGCTTCTCGATGAGACGAACACAGTGGTGGCCGAAATTTTTAAATCGGACCATAAACAAAGATTCTACAGGGTACGGGGACTAAAATTAACGTTTAAAGTGACCTTGACCTTGACCTATGACCTTGACCTCGGATTTTTTCAAATGTGCTACTGCTTCTCGATGAGACGAACACAGTGGTGGCCGAAATTTTCAAATCGGACCATAAACAAAGATTCTACAGGGTACGGGGACTAAAATTAACGTTTAAAGTGACCTTGACCTTGACCTATGACCTTGAACTCGGATTTTTTCGAATGTGCTACTGCTTCTCGATGAGACGAACACAGTGGTGGCCGAAATTTTTAAATCGGACCATAAACAAAGATTCTACAGGGTACGGGGACTAAAATTAACGTTTAAAGTGACCTTGACCTTGACCTATGACCTTGACCTCGGATTTCTTCAAATGTGCTACTGCTTCTCGATGAGACGAACACAGTAGTGGCCGAAATTTTCCGATAGCTCCAAAAATGAAGATTTTATAGGGTACGGCGATTTTTAAAGTGACCTTGACCTTGACCTATGACCTTGACCTCGGATTTTTTTTAATGTGCTACTGCTTCTGGATGAGACCAACACACTGGTGGTCGAATTTTTCAAATCGGACCATAAACAAAGATTCTACAGGGTACGCAGTATTTTGACCTCTCAAGGTCAAACGGTTTGACCTAGGAAAAAAGGTCACCATTTTCGAACTCAGCGTGCCATGGGCTATCTGTATGCCAATTTTGAGCGAAAGCATTACTCGAATTTGAATCCGAATACGAATACGACGCTAACTTTATGGACATCAACACTACCAGAAGTGTGACGTGAGCTCGCGAAATGGAATAGCAGCGTGCTGCTATCAACAGGGCCCAAGCAAGGCTGTAAAGGCGAGGTCACGCTGGTCCGCACTGGGGCGGTACCACACGGTGGGCGATTGAACCGTGCCTTCCAAAGCACCCGCCAGGGGCGCTGTGGTCGATCTTTTGGTGGCAGATTGTCTGCGAACTATAACTGATGGTTCACTGCAGTGCTGGTGACGGCATGGCTCATTAACTGTGACAGCCATTTTCTTTTGGATCCGGTCGTTGACACTTGGACCATGGGCTCCCTCAGCGGCCAAGGCCCGTCTCCAAGGCCCAAGCAGTGCACCCCTTTCGATATTCACATCCTAGGAACATCCTTTTGACCGATTTCATCGTACTCGCTACTTCTGGCCGAAAGTTACACTTTGCAAGGGCTGCTCTCATTGTTAATGATCTACTTTTGCACGCACGATTCTACTTAATTTATTATCTTTAGCTTTTAGAATTTCGGGCATATGCTTAAAGCACAAAAGCTCCGCATTCTCAGGGACTGCTGCCAACGTTACCTTGAAGTAGTCGTACATGGACGTTCCGTTGACGACTCCGAGCCGGTAGGTTCCGTCGTTGAGCAGGCCCTCCAGGCCGTGGAAGGGCAGCACCAGCGACTGGACGGCCAGGAAGGAGACCAGCGTGGCCGAGTAGGCGGCGTGACCGATCACCATCGCCAGGAAGAACGCCCAGAAGAAGAAGCGAGTGCCCATGCCGCCCGGCGTCTCGTCTGCGCCTGCAGTGCGAGGGCGTCGGTCACAGGAGCGCAGATGCTCGTCAGTGTAGTTAACCGGAGGCGTAAGGCGTCTTAAAGAGGCATCCTTTCAGGGCACATGTGGAGCAGATCTCTCATGCCACTGGTGGAGAAAGGGTCATGCGTTGCTGGTGGATATGAGGCAAAATGTCGATGGGTAGAAAAGAAACAGGCCAGATGGCACCGCGCTCTGGACACAGGTAGAGGAGAAGTTACGGGTCGCCGAGCAGGGCAATACGTCTCGCATCGAAGCTCACAGATGTCAAGATTACACCGTGAACGGACTGCTGTTGCGGAGACGGCCCCCGTGAGTCGGAGAAGGAAGAGTCTGATGGCGGAGGTGGGGCGGAGACACACCTTGCTGGCAGGCGATGCCGAAGAAGCGGAGCAGCGTGTCGAGCGGCCCGTCACTGTCCCGGGGTCGGTCTGTGGCCAGCCAGCGCCGCTCCAAGGTGTGCATGAAGGTCATGCTGGCACTGCCACAAAGCACCGTCAGGCACAAGATCGCCCACAGCGTCCCGTCGAACGAGTCCAGATAGGTTGTCCAGCTGAAGTCCAGCGTGGACGGCTTCTTTATGAATAGGCTGTACCTGTCAAAAAGAACCATCATGCTAATGAACCACAACAGACTTTTGAGAACTCTTGCACTGCAGCGACCAGTTGTCAAAACGGTCGCTCACAGTGCATGCAGGCCTTCACGCCGGAAACAATTAGCGGCGGCAGCAATGACATCATTAATTATGTTACCAAGGCACGAAACACGACACTGAAATGGCATACACCCTGCACAATTATGCCTGTTGGAACTCACTGTTGAATTGAAACATAACGGGCCGGAAAAGACGAAGTGATCTGCCAATCTGCTGCCTACGATCCTGACAAGCTCATGTTGTCACAAAAAGCGGCAGCGCGGCGCTCGGGTAGCGAGTTCCCACCCGAGCATGAAGAGGCTCTCTGTGTAGTCGATGACCTGGCTGCGGTCCCGCGTGATGGAGAGGTGTCCCACGCTGACGTCCACCTCCTGGCGCTGCAGCATGCCCACCAGGCCGGTCCAGCGGCCGCTGGCGTCCAGGCCGCCCCACTCGCCGTCCACGGACGGAGCCACCGTGTAACTGGCGACATCGCACCGAAGGCTGATCGTGTCAGCTGGCCCAGTGTCGTGCTACCTACGTGTATCACGACATTGATGCCTGCCTGATACCTACGTTTAAAGAAGCTACATATCATTGCCAGTGCAGGAGTCTCGACTATGGCAATAACAGGCGATATCTGCCTTTCGTCCCACTCACTTGAAGTTCAGGACGTTCGCGAGAAGTTTCCAGATCTCGCCCATGTATCCGCCCACATCAGGTACCGGCGTTTGCAGGAACGTGGTCACCGGAGCACCCTGTGAACGGACGCATCTTGATCAGAGGGCGAACGGACACTGCCAATGGGTGGCTGCGGCGTGGCAGTGTGTACTGTGTAGGTATTAAAGTCGCGTGTTAAGCTTCTTGCACTGATGTGATATTTCATGTGATATCAAGGCACATCAAGGCATTGATGTCACTTTCTGCTTCATGGCCGAGGAGATGAGTTGGAGGAAAACATAAAAAGGGGCCCCGCCATCTGCTTTCCGCGCGGGTCCTGGCCTTCGGCTAAGCCTTGGACTCTTTTTGAGTGGTCTTGACAGACTCCGAGCTCAGTTCTCTCTCCGGCTCACCTCTTTGGTGGCAACTCTGAGGGTCAGACCGCTGAAGTCTCTGCGTCTCTCGTAGATGGAGTGGTTATCCCAGCGCTGTGCGCCGGTGTCTGGGTACCAGCGTCCCAGGGAGTGTCGGTGGGCGGTCAGGCCGGGCGCCAGGTGGTAAAGCTCCATCAGCTCCACATGAGTCACCGGGCCCGACTCGGAGTCACAGGCTGAGTCGCCGACGGAGGAGCTGCTGGACTCCCGCCAGATTTCGGCGATCGTCACCTACAGACAGGAGGGAAGTTGGGTCATATGAGGTGAGGACGCAGTGGGGTCAGGTCAGCTTAGGCCAGCTGGTCAGCTTGAAGTGCAGAGTGGAATCAGACCAGTTTAGGCGTGGTCGGCTGAAAGCCCATTAATGTCATTCGGTCAGCACTCAGCTTACAGATCATCTATAGGTAGGCGGGCTGAGATCCATGGGCGTCACCACCACTAGGGACACTAGGGACATTGTCCCTAGAAGTTTTGAAATCATCGAAAACTACTAGGGATTGTCCCTAGAAGTTTTTGGAGCTCCCTTTACTGGGGACACGCAAAGAACCCGGGACACGATAATGGCGGCAACTTGCTCAGCTCTCCAACACATGTTGTGAACGGTCGCGTCAACATCGCCACGGTAAATAAAAATGCCCGCGAGCGGTGTGCCTCGCCTCCCCACAGATATGACGGTGCCCTACAGGCACGTGTGTGTGTGGTCGCCGCAAAGCTGGATGCAGCAGGCCGGCACTCGTCCGAGAAATTGGTCGAGTTTGCTTCCTAGTCACCCGAGCAGACACCCGAGGCGATTCATGATTGCTGAATGGTGCCCAGCATGATTGCTGAAACGAACTCGGCTGGTTACATCCAGGTCCAGCTTATAAACCCGACCGATGACGACATACAGCTGCCCCGCGCCGGTTCGAGCTGGGGCAGACTCAGCTGTATGAGGGGCTGGTCGCCACAGCGCGCGTGGACCCGGCGGGAGGTCAGGATCAGGGCAGTACTGGGCCGCCGCTCTGGGCCGGCCGCTGGTCAAGCCAACATTTCCTAAATCTCATTCCTAAAATTCCCTCTGGAATATCTGAGTGGGGATCGGAGACGGCGGGTAGAGGGGGGGGGGGGGCGGGCATCAGGGCCATGCCTCTCAAAGGAAAATCAGGGGGCCATCATATCATTTGCCCCCCCCCCCCAAAAGCGATGGGGCCCCCATGGGCGTATGGGCCCCAACCTTTATTCGATTGTCACGAGGCTCAAGAAACCCACGCCAGCTATTAACAGCTCCCATACCGGTCTTTGAGGGTCCTACACTGACCTCTGATGACCCTTTTGTGGTGGTCAAGCGCCCACATTGACCGTGGAGGACCCGCATTGACCTCTGAGGGCCTTCCGCTGGCCTTTAAGGGCCCCTAAACCGGCCTCAGGGCCCATCCGGCGTCTGAGGGTTCCACATCGGTGTCTGGTGGCATCATTTCTGTCTCTGGGGTACCCAGACTAACCTTTAGGTGTCCCAGAGGGCCCTATACTGGATTTTGAAGACCCGATGCCGGCCTCTAAGGGTCTGCATCGGCCTCCGAGTACCCATTTTGACATTTGCGACCCTCTGCTGGTCTCTGGGGTCCAACGCTGGCTCATGCCGGTCTTTTAGGACCCCAAACTGACCTCTGGTGCCCCAATGCTGGCCAAGGGCCCATATTAGCCTCTGAGGGTCCCGCACTGGATTCTGAAGACCCGATGCCGGCCTCTAACGACCCGCATCAGCCTCTGAGGGCTCATCTTAGCCTCTGAGGGCCCTCTGCTGGCATCTGGGGTTCAACGTCAGCCCACGCCGTTTTTAGGGCCCGCACTGACCCCTGAGGGTTCCATGCTTGCCTGTAGGGACCCACATTAGCCTCTGAGGGCCCAAGTCGGCCTCTGGTGGGTCTCAAACTGCCATTAGGCCCTGTATTGGTCTCTGAGTGTCTTAAACTGGTCTCTGAGGCCCCAAACGGACCTCTTAACACACCGGCCTCTGATGCTTCAGTTTGTGTCTTTGAGACCCAAGACTAACCTTTAGGTGTCCCTGAGGGCCCCGTACTGGCTTCTGAAGGATCGATGCCGGTCTCTGAGGACCCATACCAGTCTTTAAGAGCCCCACACTGACATCTGAGGCCACATACTAGGGTCCCGAATTGGTCTCTTTAGGCCCCAACCAGCCTATAAGGTCTCTAAACCGGCCACTGATGGCCCAATTTTGTTCTCTGGGTTCCAAGACTTACCTTTGGGCGTCACGAACTGGCCTTTGAGGGCCCACATCGGCATCTGGGGCCCCATAGCGGCCTTTGAGGCCGGTTACGGAACCCAATTTCGGGTTCGAGGTGCGGTATCACCCGGGGCCCGAAATACCGCACGTGGATGGACTGATCCGTTTGTCTTGGAAGACAATGAAGGAGGGCAAAGCCAAAAAGTGACCGCAGACATGACCTCGACTCGTGCATTCGGTCGGTTTGTACCGTCATTGAGATGGAAATCAAACCGCTGAGTGCCGAGGACCTGCGAGCAGAGCAGCTCAAGGATGAGCTGAGCAGTTGGAGCCAATTGCATGATTTAACACGCGCACCGACGGGGGTCTGCGCCAACTTCGCACCGACGCGACGGGGGGGGGGGGGGGGGCGGATGACCGCCCCCCCTGAGATCTCGAGAACGAAGCAAGATAGCGACAAGCGGTAAACGGTATCGGATACGCACGGTCAAGATCTACAATTTTTACAAAGGTCATTTTCAGGTCAGGTCAAAGATGACGTCACAGGGGTCGAAAAAGTCAAAAGGGCGGCGCTAGATATGGAGAGTTTTTCTCGAATAACTTTCGAATTAGTCAAGATAGGAACAAACTAAGGGCATCATCGTGATCCACTCGTCAATCCGCATCGAATGATATATATGTTGACCTCTAAAGGTCAAGGTCAAAGGTTGACCTCAGGTCACGTGACCTCGAGGTCATCATGTATATCATTCGATGCGTCTTGACGAGCTGAACACAATGAGACCATCCACGCGGCTTTATCTTGTTCCTGTACGGAGTTATTGGCCAAAACCCTTTGGTGACCTTTGATGACGTCACATGACCTTACAGCTGCCCAACAGCAAAACAGACCTCAAGGTAGTGAAGGTTGATCGTATATGAAGTCATGTATGGTATATGGGGCCATTCTGACCCGTTTTAGTGGTAAAAACAGGGAGTTGATTTTTCCCCCATTGACTTATAATGGGGAGGTCGCGAAATTGACCTGACCTTAGGTCACCGGTATCAAAATTCCGAGATATACAAATTGTAGCTACTAATGATCTTATAACATCCTGCGACTTTCAAAGGCCTCCGACATCTACTGTAGCTCTGGCACGGTGACAAAGTTGCAGAAAAGTGACTTGAGGTTGGGTCACTCAAAGTGACCTGGTGACCTGACCTTAAGAGGTAGGAGGTTCAAACGTGCACACCATGTGTAAAATTGATGAGGGAATAGTCGTACCAAATAGTCGCCGCGGTTTTCCCGCTATTTGCGAAAAACCTCAGGGGGGGGGCGGATATCCGCCCCCCGTCGGTGCGCGTGTTAACCCTCGCCCGCACATGCCATTTTCCCATCCTAGAACGCACATGGGGGGGGGGGGGGTTGCCACCCCCCCCGCGCTATTTCGTTCCTGTTGGAGATAGAGCTTAGCGGTAAAGACCAAAAAGATTCTTTGGGAAGAGACGAATCCAATGATACCCAGTTTTACCTTCTCAGGTCAGTCATTGACCTTCCAGGTCAGGTCAAACTAAAAAATGTTGCTGTTTTGGGTCACCGTTGGATGTCAAGTGCGCTGCTTATCATATACCGATGACGATGCCGTTTTCTGGTGCCAGGCCAGCTAGAACCTCTTTGTCACACTACCCGACCAGATTTTTGCTGCTGAGGTCATTTCAGGTCAAGCTAGGTCAAGGTCAATTATATGTGTTTGTATGTCTGTGTGTGTCTGTGTGTATACTGATGTGTGCACCGATTGTTTATGTGTCCATATTACATGAAATCATGATCTGAGAAGCTTTTACCAGAAATGCAGTCAAAAAAAATCACAAAAAGTAAATTCAGCTTGCCTAAAACGCAAATATCTTAGATGACCTAGGTTGACCTTGACCCTGACCTTGACACCTGTACATCGTCGAGCAACATGTTCCATGATAGGTGGGAGGTAAGACTGGCAAAAAAGGCCGAAATCAAGGTGTCAAAAGCTCACAAGGCCCAAGCAAACGCAAGATGTTGAGAATTGACCATTTGGGTCATGACATGACCTGAAAAACAAGGTCATATCTCCAAAACCAAAAATCACACAAACTTGAAATTTTCAGTGAACATCAAGAAAGGATAGAGGAGCAGCTATACGAAAAATCAGCTTTCTAGCTCTAAAAATGTCGAGTGCAGAGCAGAAAGACTACCTGGGGGGGGGGGGGGTTGCAACCACCCCCCCCCCATGTGCGGGCGAGGGTTAATGCATTCTGAAAGTACCAATGTGTCACATGCATAGGCAGTAGGATGTGGGCACGCGTTTCATGATCGAAGAATATGCCTATTATCGCGTACTTTGACCAGACTCAAGCGAAGGTTTGTGGCGACGTCCTGGAAAAGTGTCCCTAGAAGTTCTGAAACCGTGGTGACGCCGCTGCTGAGATCAGAGGCTAGTTTTATCAACAGAAATCGCTGGCTGATGGTATTTTTTGCCCTTTTTTAAATGCAATGCAATTTTTGCCTAAAAGCACACCCGACTTTCGCAAACCACGCGAGAAAAATATAAACGCTGTTGTAAGCAAACAGGGTAAGCAAAAGCACCAGCCGGCCTAACTGATGTTTTCACATCGTTGCTATTATTCTTTTCGCGTGGTTTGTTTTACATTTAACTTGTGAATGGAAGACTGCATGTCGCATGAAATAGAAAAGCCAGCAGCCGGCGATTTTTCTGTTGGCAAACCTGGCCTCAGGTCAGCTTAGGTCACCTCAAATGGATGCCATTGCCATGGTCTCCGTTTGAACATCTCTCCCGCTGCAGCTGGAGAGCTGCTCGGGTCCGGGTGCGGGATACGCTCGCTACTCATTTACATTTTTAACCGTTGAGCTGTGGACTGTGGAGCATATCTGTGGAACACATCACACCATAAGCTGATATGGGAAGTAGTGGGACGTAACCTTTCAGTTCAAGTCGAATACGCAGTAGGTACCCTGGGAGTGCATGAATGCAAATCCAGCACTAACATAGAGTTTGAGATCATAACACTAATCAGGCTAAAAAAGCATTTCAAGATAAATATTGTATTGCCATTTATGACTGCGTAGTCTCGTGTAATAAATCTTCTGAGATCATATAGGCCATGTGCTTTCTGCATTATTGCTGGGTTATTCTACTTTGCCGCTGCACCTCAGGCTATGACTGATTTATTCATTTAGCCCTTGGCCCTACCATATTTCGTGCCGGATTTCGCCATCGTCAAATAACTGCGCCACCCTACTAAATATGGTAAATGTCGCATTTTACCAAATTGCAGCATGCCATTTGTCGCTTTGATGGCGTTTGCTAAGACAGCGTATAAATAAGTTGTAAGCAGCTTCGTGTTCCACGGCTTTCCTCAAATTACTCTTAGCGGTGTCCGTTGTTGTGTGGGACCGCAGCGTCAATCGAGCACTTTGGTCGACCGGCCGGCGCATCCCAGATTACTGCAGCTTATGGCCTGTTTGTGACTTTGTTACGACGCATTTTAGATTACTTAGCGGCGTATTACGTGGTTGTTGACGGGCATGTAGCGGCTGCTCCAGCGGTCGGTGACGCGGCTGCCGCAGCTCAGTATTAGCCACTCGTGCTGCTCGTCCGAGAGGCCGAACAGGCCGCTGGCGTTCACCTGTCAACAGGCGGGGACGGTGAACTGTAACTGAACAGGTTACCGTTCACCTGCCGACAGTCAGCGATCGGAAACTGTGACCGTATGCAGGCTACCGTTCATCTGCCGACCGGCGCGGCGCACAGTGATGCAAATGGGGTTCACGAGTGGCCATAAATATCAAAAAGTCAAGTTTACCAAACCGAGTAAATCGCTATATGGCTAACCAAAGAAATGTTTGGCGCATCTGAATTCACATAATTTTCATATTTTTGTCAAAACCGGCCTCGTGTATGATTGTCAGAAGTCGTGACATTGTCTATGTCTTAAAATGACTGTCAGATACTCGCAACTTCAAACGCCGCTAGCGTGCGTTCATTTCATACAAATGACAAAATTATACATGGCAATGATCCCTAAAGCCTGCTGCTTCTCATGGCGGGTCACAAAAAGCCGCATCTTTTTTGGTTTGGTGTTGATCTAATCATTTGTGATCATGTTGCAATCGCAGTTTTTTACCAAGAACCATTTGCTTTCGTTTCACCTACAGCAGTTTACACAGTGTGTGCCCGTTAGTGCACCATACCATATCATTTCCTAACCATTTCTTAGTCACACTGTGAAAGAATTAAGGCGCTAGCACAGGGCAGACCGGCGCTATTGAAGTTTTTGTCCGGCGCGGTCGGGTGTTGCGGTCGGGACGGATTGCTTTCACCGCGGATCGCAATTTCGACAGACGTTAACTTTGAGCTGCTATAAGTAGGTCAAATATTGACCTTAAGTCAAAACTAATATGCTCACTCGTGAGATCTTGTCAAGAGCAATCCATTGGTTTTTGTCGCGAGCCGATAGGACACTTCGTTTAGGAACAGCAGAGGGATGCACCGACGAACCCCCGCTGCACAGTGGGCGATCCGGCCGGTGTAGCCTCGCGAAACCTATCGGCATTCATAACATCCATGTTTTTGAAGCTAGAACCACAATA